CTCTCTCTCTCTCTCTCTCTCTCTCTCTCTCTCTCTCTCTCTCTCTCTCTCTCTCTCTCTCTCTCTCTCTCTCTCTCGCCGTGGAGACATCCGCACTACAGGTCATCTCGTAAAACCTCCACTTCCCCGTGCAGTTCCCCCCCCCCCTCAAGCGGCGGTTCCAGGATGACGGAGTACGATGAAGGATGATGCAGACGCTCTTGGTGTTCCATGGCGAGGCTGGAGACGAAGACCTCCACTATCTCCCGCAGCACGTCCACCTCGGCATCCCGCCGGTTGGGAATCTGGTTGCCCACCTTCGCAGCGTAGATGACAACCGCCCGTAGCGCTCTTCTTGAGTACCCCAGGCCCGCAGTGACACGAAGGCATGTCGCCCCATTACTGTCCACCTCGTAATTGCGGACATCGCTGCGGCTGCACAAGTGGCGGAACTGCAGTTCCCGCCCACGTGTATCCCCTCTACGGTGGCGCAGCTCGTACACCATGTTACTGCGGTGATGGATGCGGGCCCTGCGCACGACCACCACGTCCATCGCTTGCCCCCCCCACCGAACCCACGCAATACACAACCGCTGCCAGCTCCACCTGATCACTACCGGCGATGGCAACTGCTTCCGCACACGACGGTGACCGCACGTGCGCAACAACTCACGGATCTGTGTGCGCTCATCCCGGGTGGCAAGTGATTTTATACGTGATGGGCGGCAGTCGCCGAATTACAGAAGGAAAAAAAAAAAAAGATAACAAAACGAAAAAGAAGAACGCAAAATCAGCAAGGCAAAAAAAAAAATAAAAAAAATCAGTCGGCCTTGTTGATCGCCGACAGTTCGTCTCCCCCCCGCTCAGCTAGCCCCTACCATTGTTTCGACAGACGCATGACAACCCCAATGACCCGCCCCCCCTGTGGAATTGTCAGTCCTTGCAGTGAGCCTGGGCAATCTTGAGGAGCGTATCGCAGAGCATTCGCTGTCCGGATTCCCAGACATAGCACTACTCCTGTGCTTCCACCTCCCTTTCCATAATGTCACACTGACGCTGAATCACCTCGCACTGCCGCTTACTGGCCCGATCGACTGATTCTGCAACCACCTTCGAGTGGGACTGCATGACGTCGGTCACCGCTTCGAATGCGTTTTGCCGAGCACTCTTCCTCTTCACAATTTTCGGGCCTCCGGGCGGCCTAACCCCGTTCGTGTCCCCGGCGCCCCCCTCGCAGTTATCACTCGCAGATGTCTCCCCCCCGGGGACACCATCGGCCCCCGCCCCTCCACCCTGTTGCTGCTGTGATGCCCCTGTGTCCACCAAATTCGGAGGATGAGCGGTCTGGCTGCGATGCTGCATAGCGTGGACAGCGTCGTACAACCTGCAGTCCATCTGGAACTTGTACCCCTTCGCGGCCCGTTCCTTGGGAGTCGTTGTGAAAAAAGACTGCATACGGGACTCCTTTTCCCTATCCCAAACCTTCCTGTACCACCCAATCACATTCTCCCAACGCTTCATACAGGCATCCCACTCTTTGTGCACCCCGTAAGCAGACATCCGTTTGGAGACGTCCGTCCATTTCCACTCTCTCGTTTTAATCCGCGCAAAGGTAGACCCGGCAGCCGCCATAGCCTCATCCTGATCTCTCTTGCACCGAACGAGAACAAGAGACTCGTCCAGGCTCCAGTACGTGCGCCCCCCGCCTGAGGCCACCCCCGCATCCCCGCCTGACGCCTTCGCTTTCCCGCTTCCCTTGCCCCTGCCAGCTCCACCGTTGATTCGTCCTTCTGCGGGCGGCGGTGGCTGAACATTCGCGTCGTCCTCGCCACCACCCACCATGTCGTCGTCGTCAAGCCCATCTCCCTCGCCGTACATCTCGCCGTTGTCGGTGCGGTCCCCGTCGCTGCTTGCGCGCATGGTGGAAACACGAGCGATGATCCTCTCCACACAACCGACACGGGCGATTCGGCCACATCTGCTGTCGCGTGGCGCCCACCACCTCCCGCCGACGGTCGTCCTCTACCGGCCGACAATGCAGTGCGGACGCCATAACCGACTCCTTGAGCGGGCGGCGCACCTCCAACGCCGGGACTACGCAGGTGGTTGCTGCGGCTGCCAAATACACCCACTGAAGGCTCCCCTTCCGATTGCCCCTGCTGATTGACTAGGAGGGTTCGTGTGACCGACCTCCCCCCCCCGGATGACAAATGCAGATCCAATGCCGGGCCCGCCACATGTCCGTCTTCGGAAAACAGCAGGGACGTCATCGATCCGTCACCGCCACAACCACACATGGGTGTTGCCAAACCCTCGGACATGGACTGCGTCGATCCATACGCGAGAGGAAATGCGGGCGTGGGGGGCTCCCAAGTTTCGTCGTCCGGCAACGGCTGCTGATGCGGTGGGAGATGGGCGTACAGCGCAGGGTCGAACCGCGGGGGGGTGACGTGGGGAGCACCCTCCGTCAACCGTGACCCCATGCCATACGTGAACCTCTCAGAACCTGCCATCCTGCGCGTTGCTTTCTTCTTCGATTTCTGGCTGCGACTCTCCGGAAGTCGCCGCAATGAACAGAAGATACGGAGGACAGCGATGGCGACGAGCACTAGCAGCAGGGCACACAACAGGGCGACCTTTCGGAGGTGGTCTGCCATGCGACCGCTCACAACGCATACCAACCGCACGCACAATGATCCGCAACCATGCGTGCAGAAGGCCGTGTGATATTTAACATCACAAGCGCACGGTGGGTGCATGCAGTCGCCGGGCAGGATCGTACGTTCAAATTCAAAATTGTTGTATGCCTGCAGCCCCACCGGCTGGAGGCAACGGCTACCCCGCCCAACGGCCGCTTGGAACGGCACGTTGCCGCCGCCCCCCGCCCTCGGGTACCAAACGGAACTACCCGATCGGCACCCTTGGATGGGCCACAAGCCGTTGCGATGGCACCCGAAACGGATGGACCAGCATATGGACCTGGATCTCGAGTTTGCGATATTACAAAAAACAAATACAACACCGTTATTGCCGCCGATATCCTCTGGCCCTTGAACTCAAGGCACCTCGGGGAGGTACCTTGACTTCAAGTACGATTTTGCCCCGGCCGCCCTCATGTTTCAAGTGCGTGCCCTAGAGAGTCCGGAAGTGAAAACAAGTCGGCACCATCATTAGGGAGAGGTGGAACAAAGAATTTCCATTCAACCCTTGAGTTCAAGTGTGGTGGAACGAGACCCTAAGTATTTCCAAATTGTATATCTGTCCCTTTTTTTTTTTCTTCTTTTTTTTTTTCTTTTTAAAACCTTGTAGCAAGCTTAAGCTATAAAGGGCAAGACGAACATAAAAATGCGTTTGGAGGCCGCGCGAGTGCGCGTTAACGCAGCGGCGACAGCGGCGGTGGCGGCGCCCGGTCCTCGACAGTCGCGGCTGAGTAGGTGGGGCGTTTGAACTCCGGGTTCTACCATTGCTACGCGGCACCTACCCTGCCAGGCACCATAGCTGTGTGAGAGCTATGGCGACAGTGCCTTGGCATAGCCTAGCCCTTGAGTGGGTAGGGAGTGCCTTTGCACTCGTATGCCAAGGCATCCTGGCAGCTCTGTATCCGACCTCTATAACAGCTTACAGACCTCACGAGACCATGACACCAGAGGAGCTGCCCTCCCTTCAAGCTTCCTGCCGGAAAGGGGGGCCTCCTTTTTCAATACCTACAGGCCGCGCGTGGTACTTTACGACAGGTTATCTGCACTGCCTCGACTAGAAGGAAGCATGGAAGGTGGAGCGGCGTACCTGGACGCAGTGGGAGAGCGTGCGGCTGCGGTGGCAGCGCTTCGGCATATCCAAGGGCTGCAGCAAGTCCTGTTTGACCTATTTGTGTCGTGAGGCATCATGATGTTCACTTACCTTACACGCTGAGTTTTTCATTCGACTTGGCTTGCGGCTGCAGCAAGGCTAGTTTGACCTACTTTCTTCGCAAGGCATTGTGACGCTCACTTATTTCATGTTAGTTTTCGATTAATTTGGTTTGCGATGGTATTAGGGTGAAGTTCATGGGACTGGGAGGATAT